AAAAAGAAAGTTAAAGTGATAAATAGGCCTATAATCCAGGCAGGTCATAAAACTAAGTAAGTTACCCCTTTTAATTTTATCTCTTTCAAGAATTCAGTACTGAATTTCTTAGTGCTTGAACAATTAAGAATGTTCATATGTTTGCATAGCTACCAAAAATTTGCTCAGTTTATCCATAAAGTATGCTCATTATAACCATGAGAAAATGAAATATGCATAAATTAAAATTGTTACAGTGTTTTGCTCATTGTAACTGTGAATTCCAAGTTTGACCGTACTTGCAAAGAAAAAAATACGGTAAGATAGTTTTTGATCAGGCTTAATATATACCCACCACATATATTACAACACGTCCAATGTTTTTCAATTAAGAATGTAAACTGATCATTTTTAACATGCTAAAAATTTACTTGAATAAGTGAATTCAGCATTTCTTTCATACTAACAAACATGCTGAAAAATCAATCCAGAATCATTGATATTTTACATTTTCATTCGCAAAACTGAGTTTGAGATCATAAGCATTTTGTTGTAACAACTAATTAGTAGAAATAATGGTTTGAACCATTATTTCTACTAATTAGTTGTTACAACAAAATATATTCTGAATTATTTGAAGCTTATTAGAGAATTATTAAATGAATTTGCTAATGAATTCATGGCTCTGTTCTTTTTTAAAATCTGATTTATATTTCCTGGTCATTCACTTATTACTATTTAAAAGTGTATTTAACAACCTTACATATGTAATTGTTATAGAATAATCAGCACATTATCATGATTGTTTACAAGCATCAAATTAATCTTTTTGATAGCTTTATATGGATTAATTTACCATACTAATAAATATGAAACTCTTTATCAACAGATAATAGTTTTATTTCACGGATTATGGCTTTGGTATATAGAAAATTGGAGCAATAACTGTAAATAGCCTTATGTGTTGCGTAATAGCATTGGTAGTTATTGTAAAAATAAACATAATGCAATTCATGTCAAATATATCAGTTGTAATAAGATAATATGGATAGATTTCTGTCACGAACAATATGATTGGCCGAAAAATTTTTATTGCAGCGCAAGCATCCAATCACGTTCACTCATACAAGAAATTGAAAATATATCATCAATAACGTCGAAGTAATCAAATTCATATCACATTCTCGCTGTTGTCAATAATTTAAAAGCTTTCTAAATTAATTCATATATTCTCTCCTTTTATAACTAACCGTAATGATAAGAAATTTATTATAAAAAATTTTTTATATTTACTTGTATATTTCTGTTGTCTTTCTTCTTGGAGGTCTTCTGCGCCATCTGTCGTTTAAAATACTGTATTATTATTATTATTTTTATTTTTTTAATATTGATAAAATTTAAACAATTTATTTATAATTATATTATTAATGTTATTTTAAAAGTAAAAAATATTTCACTTTCAAAAACATCAGAAAATTAAGTTTTTCATTTTATTGAGTTTGGTAGCGGATTGAAATTAAGCTTCGGTGCAAAAATTATAACATTCCTATTCAAAAACTTTATAATTTTATGTATAATAATGTAATTTTACATATAGAAGTATATTCTTGCTACACTTTCTGGCATTATCTAATGCTCACACTATAGTGCAGGGCCAAAACTGTGCTTAAGTCGTTAGAGCCGTAACTAGCCATTCCTGTGCCCTGTGCAAGAATTTGCATTTAGGCCCCTTAATTTATTTGGTTTTGGGAAAATAATGAAACAAATACATTACAATAGATTTTTAATAAGATTTATTTTAATTGAATTATTCTGGCTTTCATTTCAGCGAATTCATTAATTACACCTTTATAATTAATGTATTTAACGATATTGTATTCTATTGAAATAATAGAAATATTGGATAATCGTTCTTGTCCGATAGTTGATCTTAAATAATTCTTTATTAAGTTTAACTTGCTAAAACTTCTCTCGCACGAAGCAATAGAAACGGGAAGAGTTAGAAATATTCGAAGAGCGACATTAATATTTGGGTAAGACTCAATTAAACCAAAATCATAAAGAGCCTGTAGAATATTAAGCGGAGATACAGTTTCTATATTTTGTATAAGAGTCGTTACTTCAAAACTAAAACTTTCAATTTCACTTGTGAATTCGTACTTTTTTAAATTTTTGCTGTATTTAATAGCGAGATCTGCAGCCGATTTTTTTTAAATCAGCAACAATCGTGTGTTATAAAGACGAGCCACGGAGAAAGCAAAAATCGTCACAGATAGTTTTCATTTTTTTCATAACGCCAATCTATTTGACACAATAGAGTGCCAAGAACACTGTAAATTTGTATTTTAAATAATTTTTCGGGTGTCAAGTTACTTCCTTCATCTGACGTTTTATCTATTTCCATTATCCAGTGGCGTAGCGTGGGTGTCAGCCGCCCGGTGCAAAGGAAAATTTCGCCGTCCCCTTATTTAGGTATTTCAATTTAAAAGACTAGAATTCAGTTTCGTCACAGAATAAGTAATGAAAAATCCCGTGCTAGTGTTGCCACCTTTTTAAAATCGCCGACCGGGACGACAGGTGAGGTTTGTTCGAACAGAAGTTCCTGACGCATGCTGGTTCTAAATCAGTTACAGTTAGCGACTAGGGAGACTTGGGTAGGAGTAACGTAAGTAATCTAGATGACTTAGCTCTATTGGATATTGGAGGTGTATATGAATACGAATGATCCGTACAAGCAAAAAAAAAAACAACAACATCGACAGGTTGTGCACGATATCCCGGACTGTCCGGATGGTAACACTATTCCGTGTTCATTTCAATCGGTCCGAATCGTAGGTGCGACGAAAATATGTGATGAAATGGTTCAAGTTTTTACAAGATATTATTATTATTTATTGTGAAATTTTGCCGCCCCCTAAAAAGTGCCGCCTCTGCCGCCCCCACTACGCTACGCCACTGCCATTATTTTAACTTTTTTTTTTTTTTTTTCGTTTATTAAGAAATCCCTTTTCTATACTTTTTGGTTTGTTTTAAGAATATGATCAATAATATCATCTGTTAATATTGTTGCCATAAAGCTATATCATTTATTATTTCCATGTATCTTTATATATCTTTATATATTTATTGGGCTATTTCCAGTGGCGCGCCGTGACATTTGATGATAGGGAAGCTGTGTTTCTGTAAGAAGCCGACTTTCAGGGGCAATTAATTAATTGGCGCGTCATTGGTGGTCAAGGGTCCATTAGTATTCGTTTATTCGATAAGCCAGTAAAAACCGTAGACTTCTCTAAATGTATTTTAAAATCACAATTACATTCTGAATCGCTAGCCACGATATAAGGGCTAAAATTAAAAATAAAATTATAAAATCTTACTTGGTGAAGTAAAATGTGTGGTGGATTATACATACCTGGTATAAAATATTCTTCAATTGTATGAATATAATTTTAAAAACAATTATAATAATTAAATATAACTTTGTAAAGAAACGTACATAAAAATAACATAAAATATTTCTTTACTTTTTAAATCTTAAAACAATCCACACAGTCAAATAGCTCCCTACGAGTGGAATCAGAGACGGTCCTGGTAGGTGTACAGTACGTGCATGCATGCAAGCTGCCAAATCCCGAGGGTGCCGATACTGGTCAATGTCAAATGCTTCTTGTCGTATCATTAGTATACCTCAAAGAACGCGACAGGGTTGTTGAACAGTACATTTTAAACGTTTCTCACCGTAGCTATAAAAATCTAAATACAATTGTCCCTCGATAATCCGACAGGTATGGGACTAAAGGTGTGTCAGATTACCAAAAGTGTCCGGATTACCGAAAATAATTACATATTTCGCATTGTTTTGCTAGCAGTAACTTACAATATTCTCTACTCCAACTGTTTGAACAGAACTGCTCACATAAAACACACGAAATGTGTGTCATCTAGTAAGAATTGGATGGGGAGATTCACATCGCGACATGCTTCTGTGCAAGCAGACACGTAACGGGGACGGGTACCTTGACGGGAGGTGCGTCGGACTACTGAGCATGTCAGATTAAAAAACGTCGGACTATCGAGGGACAACTGTACGTTAAACTTAATAGATTGTCTGCCATTTATTTTCTAACTAATTCGTTTTAGGACCAGGTGTCCACGAAAATTTCTAAAATTTACAACTTTTCGGTCAGTGTCATTGAACTTGAAAAATTTCTGTCTTTATTACCTCTAATATTACGAAGAAATCAGTCCCCACTGTATTCGACTAGAGATTGGTTCGGTTAAGCTTTTAAGTAAAATTCAAGCTCTTTCGGCAGTGTTTTATTTATGTCCCTAATTCCCTAATCTCATAATTATTTAACTACTTCTTAAGTAGAAAGTTACTTTGTACTTGAATATTTGTAGTCTTTGGAAAGAAGTGGAAAGACAAATTTTTATGACAACGGATACATAAATCGTAAATTTAACAAATAAATAAATTTTAGAGCTTTTTTTGTACCTTGTGCATTTCATTCATTAAATTTAGTTGTAAACGATGCTGCCAAAGTAACAGTTCATTTTTTTAACATTACACAAGAATTGTACACGTTTTTTTCTGCATCCCACTACAGATGGGACATACTAAATCGTAATATCACTAGTTTAACATTGAAATCTGTAAGTAATACAAGATGGGAGAGCAAAATAAATAAATCATATATTTTAATGGATTTTTTTAAAACTCCTGTCAACTATACACTTTTTCTAAGTTATCTGTTTGGAAGTTCCTGATAAAATAAACTAAGTGATTTTTGGTAAAAAATTTTTNTATATTTTAATGGATTTTTTTAAAACTCCTGTCAACTATACACTTTTTCTAAGTTATCTGTTTGGAAGTTCCTGATAAAATAAACTAAGTGATTTTTGGTAAAAAATTTTTTCTGTAAATCATTTTATAGATTTAAATATTTGTTTAAGCGCATGAAGTAATTCTTCATTCAGAACACCATTTTTTGGCTTGATATTTAAATAGGATTATCACATTTTCATAGTTTCGGTAAGGCAATTCTCCAATCACGGATAAGTGTCCCGCATCCTTCGTTTATGCATAGCTGTTTTACTTTGAGAGGTATAACCGTAAAATCATAGAAAATGTAAGTATGTAATTTATAGTATTATTTTAATTTCTCGTCAATAAAGTATGGTTATGAAATCACCAAAAAAGCGCGCGTCATACTTTTTCTATTATGCCTTTTATTTATTGCATACATGCTAGTTACATGTGTAGACAGGACACAATGGCGAAAAGTGATTCGGAGCCGATGTATTACATTACAAACATGCAGACCACGGTTAAGAGGTGTTGTGCCGAACCTAAGTTGTAGTGTTATTCAGATGCCGGTAATATTCTACCAATTTTGTTATATATAGTATCAAAATTGATCCATTTATAAAGGAATTCAAAATTTAATTAATGCTTAAAGAGAGACAGACATTTTTACAGTAAATTTTGACAATTACTTTACAATTGAATAAAATTTTCCAAATTCAGTATGAATTTCTCGAAGAGAAGCATCGAAATTACTTAAAGTACTTGATAATGATAAATTTTTATCATATAAATCCAAACAAAATATCGAGAAGGAGTTTCGAGTACAAACTTTTTGCTCAATATGTTGAGCAAAACAAAAAAGGATTCGGAAGCCATTGAACTTTTCTGTAACTTGCGTATAATTTAAAAAACGTTAATCAAATGTTTTTAAATTTTCACGAAACATGGAATTTTGAAAATAATTTAATGTTTGTATTTAATAAATGTACTAAATATAGATATATATCTTTAAATTCTGTTAATCACAATTTCCTTCATTATCCAGTGATTGATAATTTTGTTTAATTAATAGTCATCCAGTCGTACTTGAAATTCAAGCGATGGAACAAAGCTGTGAATTTTCTGCGGAGATATCTATAATCGGGAGCATCTTCGAATTTTAGACTTCTACAATAGCGCAGATAATTGGCAAATTCATCGGGAAATCCTCTGCATAATGTTTCGATAGAAGTAGATGCTTTCTTTTCGAAGATTCTTTCGTTCATTTGTTTGTTAGTTGCAGCAACTAATCCATCCCAAGGAAGAAATCCTCGAATGAAATATATTAAGACATAGCCCAAAGATTCCATATTATCGCGGCGTCGACTTTGTTCAATTCCTGAATGAACATTTAGGCTAACGTAACGAACTGTTCCTATTGAATTTTTACCTTCTTTATACTCGATATGTTTGTCATCGAATTTATACATTTTAGATAACCCAAAATCGGTGACAAATACTCTTTTACTGAATCGATTTAGACCCATCAGAAAATTTTCGGGTTTGATGTCTCTGTGAATAATATTCTTCGAGTGGATGTACTGAAGACGGCTAATTAATTGATCGGCTAATAGCAACACAGTTTTAATACTAAATCTTCTTCCGCAATAATAAAATAGATCATTGAGGCTCGGACTGAGTAAGTTCATGACTAAAGCATTATATTCTTTATATTTTCCGAAACATATAATTTTGGGAATACCATATCCTCCTTGTAAGGTATTATAAACCACATACTTGTGAGACCTGAAAGGCCCCTGGGTCTAAATCAGTAATTTTATTAATAACGTTAATATTTTGTTATAAAATATTATTTCGTTTGGGTGAGAAAAATGACGTTTTAGAGTGGGAAAAATAGATAACAGATGTTACTTCCTTTCACAGAAGTTAGAACATCCTCTGTTTTTCCCTTATCTGCGAAAACTCTCGCTTTGATGGGAAATGTTTACCCCTCACATATCCCCCTTTCCATCCGTTCTCACGGGGGAATCTTGGCATGATGATTGGTCGCCGATCGTGACATATAGGGGAAATTTGTCCGAATTCGGGGAGTTCAGCGACAGATCTGGAAGCGTCCAAACTCCACACATTTTCCTACTGATGACCAACGCCCTTCGACGAGTCACATAGAATTCCCGAGTTAGCACTTAGAGATTATACTTTGATTTTGTGCACATATCGATCTCCTATGGAAAGAAGTAAATGAACTTTATCTCCAAAGTGTCCCTTGCCTACAGAGAAGAAGACGAACGACAACTAAACAGGTTGTATGTTTTATAACGATTTTGTGAGCTCTTTCTCTCGATCGCGAAACGGGTATAGTATAAGTCCATGCCTATATCGTGTATCTTAATTGTCATATTTATATCCCTCGTTCATTGATATTTGTATCAGTTTTACTTATATAGAATCATTAAATTACTCTTGTTTGTTTTATATAAGATATGCCTCTGAATTTGTGTCCGAGTAAGATCTCATACGCGTGTTTGTCCGCGGATCGATAAATTGACAAACTGATGTCAGCCCTGACGAGCATCTGGACTTCACAGTTCAGATCTACTAGCAATTAACGCTCTCCTATAAAAAGTAAGAGAACCGATCTCACGATCGCGTGCCCGTAAGTGGCGTACCTCTGATTACGTCCCCGGCTATCTCACACTCAATCAAAAGTTGCGAGCGATTGAGAGTAAAAGGTTCGAACTTAACTGCAACTTGCTCCCCATTTTCAGTATTTAATCCAAGGTATACGTCTCCAAAAGATCCACTGCCTAGTTTATTCATTATACGAACATTATATGATATTTTTTTTATCGATACCTTCGAGTAATATAACCGATTCCATTGTATTCAAGAGTAGATTAAAATTTTCAAGTTATAAAATTATTTTATCCGTTATTTGCGAAAGAATATAATTATTGTTTTTGACTATTGTTAGCAAAATAACAGTGGAACCAACGAGAACATCGAAACGAAATTTAAATTGTTATTAAATTTGCTTATATTTGCATTTTTTAAAACTCTTTCTGCCCTGTGGGTATTAAGAGGGCCTTTTTTCAAGCCTATCGTGGGTTTGGACAGGTACACAATAGGTGAGTGACGAGACTTGACATACAGACTACTTCCGAATAATAGAACAAGTACCTAAACATTATCGACCAATCCGGACCAAGCCTTCACTTCTTGAATAGTCACGATCATCACCACTAACCATTAGCTACTACAGTACTATTTATCAACTCACCTACGAAGTGTAAACACTTTCTCTCTCAGTTCGGTGCGCTTTTACGCATAGACTCTCCCACTAATTCTATTTCCTTGTAAACCTTTGTTATTTAACGGTTTAATGCGTTGTGGAGTGCGTTACTTCCGGGGATTCCCTGCCTCTCTAAAATTTCTCTCCATTCCTTAATCCGTAAAAGTCTTACATACATCCGCTCGCGCGGTTCCAAGCTCCTTGTGAGCCTGAAAATCACAGGTGTTCTCAGACCTGACCCCAGGGGCTCAGCCGTCCTGTTCACAATATTTTAACTATGAAGATTATTATGTACTTAGAAAATTTGTTTAAAATTATTTCTGATGCTACTTTTAGCTAGGATCGATGTATCATTAAGATGGGACACGGTCAACTGTGCAACAGTAGGTGGGTGATGGTCAACTGGCTATTGCAAAGTGGGTGCCGGATATCTGGATTACAAAGTAATAAATAGATCTACAATACACAAATAATAGACAAAATAAATTTTTATGCTTCAATTAGAAAAAAATTATAGACCTATAAATTTCCTCCATCGTTCCTTCATCTCGAGAACGGAATTAAGTAGATGAAAGTCAAAGACCAAATATGGAAACCATATGAGCAGGAGGCCCGATTAACTTTAAACCAACGTCCAATGAAAACCAGAAGTTATGTTATTTCAATTCAAAGATTTCCCCCGGAAGGTGTAAAATAGAATGATAGATGACCGGCACGACTTTATTGTTAAAGGAAGACGTATGATGTACAGGAGAAAGACATTACTAATTTGAGTAGAGAGCATATTTCAAATTAAAGAAATTAAAAATATAATAAAAAATTGCAGCCCGGGCTTGCATTGTAACGATGTCACAATGCTGGGCTGCAGTATAAACGAATAATTATTTAATTGCTCGTTTCTTTATCAAAATCCCTATAGTTTTCATTGATTTACTACCCGGTAAACTTAAATATTTTTTAGAAGAAAGTTAAAAGAACGATCTAAACATAAAATTTGATAAATCTCGCTTATAATCAATCTCTCTTTATTTTTATATTGCGTAGAATTACAAAATTGTATAGAAGTTATATTGGATTTTCCGTACAAAAATAAGTCAGCTAGTTAATAAATATTTTCGTTTATATCATATATCACCTTTCACAGAAGTTAGAACATCCTCTGTTTTTCCCTTATAAGCTTCAAAAAAATAATAATAATAATAAAATAAATAAAT